ACGACAACAATAACAATAACAATAATAATGTGAATTTTTCTCCTTTTCCTACTCTTTTTCCTTTCTTTAATAATGATGGCTGATCCAGACATGATAGAAAGAGAATCTAAAGCTTATTTCTTTCCTTTCAGAGACGCTTTTTGTATTCTTGGCACAGCTTTTTAAAATTCTTTCCGCACCTTCGTTTGTTCCTGCATATCTGGAGCCGCCCCAAAGTGTGCCAGGGCAGAGACCTATTGGAGGCTGAAAAGCTGTCACCTACAGCTTTATCTTGGATTTTGCCATAGGAGTGGCCTTTTGTGGTTGGACTGGGCCAAAGGACCACGGCCGGACTATCTCCCTTAACAATTGATCAGACCAATAACCATACCAAGGTTAGGACGCAGACCTCCATAAAGCACTGTATTCTCCTATTGATTCTCATGTGACAATCCTCACCTGAAGAATTTCTACCTGTTTTGGCTACAACTTCAAAAGCACAGAGTAGGTGGGGAAGGTTGCAACCCTCACTTTAGATTTCATAAAACCTTATAGTGGAGCTCCGGGAGGGAAGATCATTTTAATATTTTCAGTGTTAGCATCGGAATGATCTAAGTACTGTATTTTTAGTGAGTTCTTTCCCTCTGTCCCCTCCCTGTTCTTTGAGGGTAATAAGATTCACCTTCCCCACCCTGGAATGCACAGGAAAACACATTTTAAAAAGTTGTGGTTTCTTTTCTGCTACAAAACATGAGATTTTGGGTAGAAATCCAGACCCCCTACTGCACAGCAGAGGGTTTTATTATCTAATCTGGAGTAGAATCCTTTATGATGAGACAAAAATCTGTAATCATGTGCAGAGCAACTCAGTGGCCCAGCATCCACTTGGAGGGATCCATTTAATCTTAATTTCCTCCCAATCCATTTGCTGGTTTTGTTCAGTTTGGAGATGTTTCCAGGGGTTTTAGGGAGTTTTGATTGTTTCTGGGTTGCTTTTAAGGTGATTCTATGGTAGCTTTGAGGAAATAAGGCAGGTTAAAAATAAATCAACAAATAAAGTACGAAGGTATTTCTGCCAACCTCCCCAGGTATTCCTACCTTTGCAAAATTTGAAAATTAAATCCCTAGGAATATAGGAAATGGCTATAAGTCGTAAGTCATTTTGGTCCATTCCTCCCAGTATTGGTAATGCAGTGGTCCCCCTGCATTTCCGACTAGTTTCTTCTCTAGTCCTACCCGGAAATGCTGGAAGCGAAATAATTTTGGAAGGAAATCAGGCCAGCCTAATAAGGGTGGAAAAAACTGGATGCCAGAGGAATCATTCCAATCCAATTACTGTGTTTCCCCCAAAATAAGACAGGGTCTTATATTAATTTTTGCTCCAATAAACACATTAGAGGCTTATTTTCAGGGAATGTTTTATTTTATAGTCATGTCATCTTCTGGTTGCTGCACAAGGGTGGAGGGAGGGGTTTCACTTAACTAGGGCTTATTTTGGGGGTAGGGCTTCTATGACAAGCATCCTGAAAAATCATACTAGGCCTTATTTTCAGGTTAGGTCTTTAATTTTGGGGAAACAGGATATGTAGATCAGTTTATATGTTCTTAACACGTAATCCAGTTTTACTCTTGTGTGGAATTTGGGCTTGGGGACAGGCACCTCGTTTGGTGGATGTTCTTTGCCATAGGATCAGAGGACGATGGGACCCCAAAGGGTCATTTAGTCCAACCTCACCAACGGCTTCAGTCCTTTGAAGGAGAAAGGCAGGGTAAAAATATTTTAAATACATAAATTTAATGAATCAAGGCTCTGAGAGAGTGTCATCTTTGTTGACAAAACTCTACGAAATAAACGCAGGCTGCTTTCCAACGTACGTTGCTCTTTCCAGTTTTTGTGCTAAGTGACACAATTAACCCTCTCTTTATGAACAAGGTTGGGATCCTAGCCCTTGATCTTCCCTAAAGACTGTTTCTTCTTCCAGGTCAGAATCCACCCAGTTCTAAAAAATGATTCAGAGTTCCCGCAGGGCGGTTACAAGCTGCTCCAAAGTCGCGGAACCGGTCATCCTCCTACCCCACCTGTGCCATTCATTGGCTGAATAAATCTGTCCACCCACAAAAGGCATCTGTGCAGAACCAACCCGCCTTGCAGCCATGCCTCGAAGCACCACGCCTCGGCTGCTGGTGGTGCGCCCCACGCCCAGGTCTGAGTGTTCCCAGGAGGAAAGCAAAAAAGCAGGATGGGCTTCATTGCCTTCTTCTCTTGGGGCATGGAACTTTTAGGGGAATCCCCCCTTCAAACACCAGGCCCAAAATCGGGAGGACATGTCTGGATCCATCTTATAACAGGGTCTCACTGACTTTGGGCAGCCAACATTCCTTACAGGAATCTTAAATATTCCCCATTCTGAACCAAAAGCAAGTCCATGTTCCACTTCTTGGTGTGCAGGCCACCCATCACGGCTCCAAAACGGACAGAAAGATGGGAACAGTTGTCTTAAACACAATTTCCCCCTTTTGGGAAAAGCCATGTGTGAATGCATGTATTTGCGAGGACTACGAGCCACCAGGTCTCTTTCTGTTTGAAACAAATCTGGAGGTTGGATTGTGTTAGACTGCCCTCCACTGGAACCAACCCCGAAAAGCAGAAATGGCAGGCCTGCATGCATGCTAGCATTCCTCCAAATGAGTGCCAGTCAAGTGATGTCTCTGGATTCGCACGGCCTCGGTTTTTGCTGAAGGCCACTCGCCGCAAAGAGAAAAGGAAAAATGGGAACTGAAAACGGTCCAGATAAAACCATGGGAGGGGGGAATTGTGGTGTTAAACTGCACAACATAAGAACAGCTGTTTTGAAACCGCGTTGAATTGGACTGCCGTGGGCCAGCACTTGCGCTGAAATAAATCTGCTAGACCACTGGTTCTTAACCTTGGGTTACTCAGGAGTTTTGGACTGCAACTCCCAGAAGCCTTCACCACCAACTGTGCTGGCTGGGGTTTCTGGGAGTTGCAGTTCAAAAACATCCGAGTAACAAAGGTTAAGAACCACTGTGCTAGACCTTCAAGAAAGATGCTCTTCACCCCTGGAACTTTATTACAGCCAGTGTGGTTTCGGGGGGTTAAGAGTCCCAGGTTCAAACCATGAAACTAAACGTTAGCTTTTGCCCTAGTATGATTGTTATTTTCCAAAATACAATAATTTATTGATTTTTTAGATTTCAGTGTCGCTTGGGGCCTCTTGAGAAAGATGGGGTGCGGATCTTTTAAAGAAACAATAAATAAATAGCATAGGGTACTCCCTCCTCTCTCTGTCTCTCTCAGGCAGACCTACCTCACAGGATTGTTAAATGATAAATGTTGGAGGAACTGCGGTCAAAAGGGAACTCTGGAACATATGTGGATCTCTTGCCCCAAAATAGAAACTTTTTGGCTGGAGATAATTAAATGGATAGAAACACTGACTAATCAAAAAATAGAGATTAATGAAACATTATTGTTATTTTCATTATTCACGGGGGGGAAATGAGAAACTACAGTATTGCAAATCTCATAGGCACCGCAAGATCTGAAATAGCTAAAAATTGGAAAAAAGCCCAAGATCTCTCACTGCAAGCATTCACAAGAAAAATATGGCATACATTGTTGATGGAAAAAATGACTAATAAAGTTAGAGTACAGTATATAGAGGCGAAATAAGCCATAGTAAATTCACGGAAAACTGGAAGCCATTATTAAAATATGCCGATAAAATGGAGACATGTGGTTTGAAAAGAGACTTAGATTGTTGGTCAATTTTTTTAAAAAAGGTGATGGGTAAAGGTATATATATGTGATTTGGAGAAAAGTGGGGAATAGTTTTGTATTTAATATTTGTAAAATGTTCGATTGTCTTTTCATTCTTTAGAAATAAATAAATAAAATAAAATAAAAAAACCTCACAGGATTGTTATTGTGAAAACCATGCGGGGGGGGGGAGACTGCCTGGCCCACTCCTTGAACTCAATGGAAGAAAAGCAGGACATAAATTTTACAAAACAAATGTAGCTAGAACATAGTTATAAAAACAGAAGGCACAAATGTAACGAATCCGTGTAACTAATCATTGTATGTGGGGAATAGTTACAAAATAAATAAAAGCAAAGGAGATAAATGTTAACTAATCCATGTAACTAAATCAGTGTAGTTTAGAAATAGTTATGCAACAAATGAAAGCAAAGGGGATAAATGTTAACTAATCCATGTAACTAAGTTAATAATGGTGAATAACTAAGTGGAAACCTGAGACTTCAATGTAACTGACTAAAGGCAGATATTAAATAACATCTTGATTGATTTGATTTATCTCTCGCCTTTCTCCCAGGGCCACATTTCCACCCCCCGAAACGCGCCGGCTTCCGACTTCCGCAGGTCTCTTCGGCAGGCTGGGTCTCCCGCCCCGCGGCCAAGCGGGAGGAGTCCGGGGGCGGGGCTACGGCGCTTCCCGGGTGGGGCGGGGCTTCTAGGTGACGCCTGCGAAGACGGAAAGGCTCTGGAACCATAGAGGAGGAGGGCGAGGAGGACCTGAGTCTAGAGCGCCCACCCGTCCCTCCCAAGTCGGAACCGGATAGGGCTCGCCTACTTTTTCCCTCCCGCCCTCTATGGTAGAAAGGAAAGGGAAAGGCCCGGCTAGGGAGAGGGCCAAGCCGGCAAGAGACGTGGCCTTGGGGGCGCGCGGTGACGTCAAGGGCGTGAGGGGCGGGGACGGCGGAGGGGGCGTGGCCCCGGCTCATCTCAGCTGACCGTCCGCCATTTTGTCGCCGCTCCGGCTTTTTTTTTAATTAAGGAAGGAAGGAAAGGGAAGAGGCGGAAGAATAAAGAGGAGGAGGAGGGAGCGAGCGAGCTTTGGCTGGCTGGCTGGCTGGGGGATGTGAGGCCTCCCTCCCTCCCTCCCTCCGCCCTGCCGCCTATTGCCTTGCCTTGGCCTCCCTTCGGGCTCACCTTTTAGTCTCTTTCCCATTTCCCTCGGCCTCCCCTCCGCCTTCGCGATGGCGCTGAAGATGGTCAAAGGAAGCATCGACCGCATGTTCGACAAGAACCTCCAGGACCTCGTCAGGGGGATCCGCAACCATAAGGAGGACGAGGTGGGTTGGGACCCCCGAGGAACGCGTTCCTCGCCTCGTTACTGGGAGGAGTAGCAGCTGTTGAGGGACAGGGGAAGGTTTCTCCCTTTGGACTGCAACCCCTATCATCCCGCTCACTCCCTATGGGGACAGGCTGGCTGGGGGGTGGGGAGGATGGGAGACCCGCGCCCTCTGCGGGACTGCAAGGCCCATCGTCCCCCTCCTCGGCCAGTACGGTGGGATGAGTGTCATGGGTCCGGGAACTTCCGGTTCTGCTGGGCTGCAGAGCCCATCATCCCCAGAGGCCATACGCTGGGAGGAATAGAGGGCGGGCTGAGAAGGATTGGGACGGGGGTCCCTACACCTGTCGAATAGGATATTATTTATTTATTTTATTTATATCCCGCCTATCTAGTCACTTAAGACCACTCTAGGCGGCAGGATAGACTGCAATGCCCATCATCCTCTGTCAGCCAGCCTCTTACCATGGATGCCTTGGTCTCACGGGTAATAGGAGCCCAGCATCTTTTGAATCTGTTGAACTGCAATTCTCGTTGTCCTTGTCAGCTGGCATGGCATGGGGGAGGTTTTGCCTTAGGGATCCAGCATCCTTTTTAAGCCAACCCATTTCCAATGCCCACCATCCAGTCTGATCCAATGGGTAGTACAGTTTGCAAATAATAGGACTTGGGCAACCTTGGTTGGACTACGGCACCCATCTTCCTTTTAGCCCTGCCTTTTAATTCCCTTGGACTGGAGTGCCCATCGTCCACTCGGCCTGTAGGGTGCAATGGATTTTGTGGCTGGGGAATCAAAGGAGTCTGGCAACCTCTGCTTTTGTTGGACTACAATGCCTATTATCCCCATCAGCCAATATATGGTGCATTAGATATTCTGGCTGGGTCCATACCAAACCCAACTTATGTACTACAGCCCCCACAATTCTGTGGTTAATGTTGCTATCCATTTCTTATTCTATTAGTATCATTTTACTTATTCCCTTTACTGGGACTTTGGCACTGAGTGGATCCGAAAGAGCGGCTTCCTTATTCTCTCCCTGCTTCCCCCCCACCCAGGAAATCATGACAGTCTGCATAAATTCCCCCTTTTCAAAAAAATGTGTGTGTACTTTCATTATTTCCAAAACTTGGAAGCCACATGGAAGAGCCTCGGGCCTTGACTGCCCTTCCATTTGTGCAAAAAGGCAGAAGGGGGTCCCCTGACTGAGGGGGCGTGCGTTGGCGCTCCCTCGCCAGATGCTCTTTGAGGTGCTCCTCCTGCACCTTTGGTTGGGTCTGGGCTTCAGGGGAGGGAAGGAGGTGTCTGGAGAGCTTCTCATGGCTCTGTCAGGTCTTGACCCATGCCCAGGCTCTGCCCGTGTTGGCGGAAAGAGGGTCTCGGCCTGCAGAAGGCAACCCACGGGCGGAAGCAACCTTTCGGGAGGGTCCCGGGGGTGGTGGCCCAGCTTCAGCCAAGGGTTTGAGGACTGCTTCTCCTGGGCGACAGCCGCCTGTGGCCTGCTCAGAGCATTGTGCAACTCCAGAGTTGCGCCATCCAGATAATGAGAACTCCCCCCCCCCAGCTGGCCACCATCCGTACTTACGATGTGGCATTCATTAAAGGGCACTTTGAGCTCCTCTTTGAGTCTTGCCTCTCCAGGAGCGTTATTGACTCGTGTCGCCCCATGATGATTCCTAATCAGTAGCAGTTCTGCGCTGAGCTTTTCTGTCCAAGACTGGACTTGAGCTTTTAGCACGGAATTCAGGGCCCAGAAAACAGAGGCATGACAGTTTCCAAGTTTCTAGCCCTCAGGATTCCGGGAGGATTAACAGAGCAGAACAAACTGTGTGGCCGCTCCATCAGCAGCACCCCGAACCCCTTCTTTTCTGCCTTGCCTGCCTCTGTGAGGTTTCCTTGGCAGGGAACCTTAGCTGGCTGGCTGGAATTACGTCTCAGGCCGAGGCCACGTATTCTTGCCTTCCAGGGTTACCAGCCATGGGTATAAACCGGTGTTCCAGTGCCTTACTGGCATAGAGCCCTCCTTATACCTTTAAAATGCTTCTCCTGCCTTTTTGGCTGCTGAAAAAGCCATAGCTCTCTCCATCTGCTCTGGTATATATAATAAGGAGGGGAAATGCATATACTTTCAGTGCAGGTCAAAACACCGAAGGTGCAAACTGTCTCTCTTTCTCACTCTCTCCCACCTTGGTCGCTGAATTAGATTTTAACTTAACAACCCTGCTAAAAATCGCGCCCAGTGACTCAAGAGCTTCATATGACAGAGCAAAGTGTGAATCTCTTGGTGGTGGTGGGAGACGTCACGGGGGGGTGGCTGGGCGGACAGCCTTAGGAAGCGAGGGTGTACTTTGGATTCCCTAACGCTGGCCTTGCCACAGTGCTGGGCGTGTGTGTTTAGCGGTTGTCATTCTTTGGAAGGGGTTCTGGTTTCTCCCTCCTCCTTAATTCACTTCCCATCTTGCATGTTCCGGTTGCTTTCATTTCTGATGGAGAAGCCAGCCCTGAGTCCGATTGCAGAAATCTGGAGGGGATTTCTTGATCTGCGGACAAGAGCCATTCTCAGATGTGCATCTTCAGAGCCTCGGGCCCTTCTGTCCAGATTTACCCTCCTTTGGGCAACTTCCTCCTCCACGAATAATCCTCCTTCGCCTCTCCCCTGCCTGAGGATTGGTGGCCCGAGGTGCTAATCCTCTGCTTGAGTTAACATGGCAGGTAGAAGGGAAGCCTCTTGAAATGCTGTTCCCAAGATTGTCAGCCGGGGGGGGCACTTGGTGCAGGCGGATCTCCAGCCAGGGTTGGGGTGGGGGCTGTCTGGCCACGGCTTATGCGGCAGCTGCCCCCACCCCAGTTTGGCAAATATGAGAGGAAGGCCTAAATCAAGATCCAGAGCATCTCTTTCAGATCCGGGGCCAAATCCGGTTTGAGAAACCCTTGGAGACGGAAGTCCGGCTCCAAAGCCAAAGGGCTTGTGGGTGGAGAGAAAAATAAGAGTGTATTTCAGTTTAAAGCCCTTTGTGTCTTTAGTTTAGGCTTAGGAAAGGCCCTGATCCTTGTTTACAGAGCCTCTCTGGACGGTCGGGTTCAGTCCAGGTTCAAAAGAGTTCGGGGCATCACTCTGTCTCCAGAGGTTACTTGCCATACCCGAATGGCAAAAAGCTCTCCAGACAGCGGATACAGCGAGTTCTGTGTGCGGGGTGGCTTAAGGTTCTTCCGCCCACAACCTCAGCTCATCATCATTTCTTAAAAACACATCTTCTTTGACTCGCGGGCGTGCTTTTTTGTACGCAGGCATCCCTTTTGCCATTCCTCGTCTGGTGGCCTTTTCTCTTCCAGCCTTCATTGTTTGATTCCTTGCTTGCTGCTCCAACTTGCAAGTGGATTTATTTTTTAAAGGGAAGTGAGGAAGACGCCAGGAGGAACCGGCGCGGGTCCGAGAACCAGATACGCCGGGGATGGATTCCGTGACATCTGTTTTCTCCGGCCGCAAACACGGCCATCAAATATTTACAAGCCCGGGACAAGACCTGTTGTCTGTCCCATACAAGAGGGGATCTCACGGCGTCTCTCGTTTCGGGCAGAACTGAAAAGCCACCATGTTCTGTTGGCCCTAGAGTTTTGTACTGCGTCTTAGGACAAAAGAGTTTTTTAAAAAAACTTTTAAGGAAAGGAAGCTGCTCGCCAGCCCTTGCAAGTCGTGCGTTTATGTCGGTTTTGTTGTTACCTCCAGAAGAACTGGAGGAAAGTGCTAAGTACTTCATTGGGGCCTGCACTGAGAAATGCAAGTAACAATATCTGGAACAGTTCTTTCCAGCCAGCCGGCTTTCTCTCTAGGACTCTAAAAGCTCGTTTTCCAGAAATGATGGCCCTCTCCTGTCTTCTGTGGAAAACATCCTTTGATTGGAGCCCCCAGCCACGTGCCGTGGCTAACCTGATTATATTTTGGCCCTTCGCCCTGCAGTGTAAACTAGGCAGAGAGGCATGGCAGCTGGTCCCGAGTCACCCCCTGAGTGCGAAGACCAGACAAGGATGGGAGGATCCATTAATGGATGAAGCCTGCCCTTGACGGTCTCGGCCAGAGGCATCTCCCCGAGCACCAATCCGGTGGCACCTCCTGCTTCATACAGAGATGCCGGGGTTTGGAACGGTGGCCTTCAGCTTACAAGAGAGGGCTTTCTGTCGGGGAGCTGTGGTGCCTTCCTAGAAGGAACGCTGCTGGGTATTTCCGGGGTTGAGGTGTCAAGAGGTTGGGAGTTTGAATCCTCCCCTGGACCTCCTTGATAGGGGCTGGACTGGATGATCCTTAGGGTCCCCTTCCAGCTCTGCCTGCCTATTTTTATCATCATTATGGAGCCGCTGGATAGCTCAGGAGTTGAGGTTCTCTGGCCGCAGAGCCAAAAGTTGGGAGTTCAATTCCTCCACTGTGTCTCCTTGATGGGGGCTGGACCGGATGATCTTTAGGGGACCCTTCCAGCTCTGCAGTTCTAAGATTACAAGAGAGTTTTTTTTTCTTTCTATCAACTTTCTTTTACTCTTTGTGGGTTGACGTGCATGTCTCCAGTCTCTTCCTCTAGGACTCTGTGCTTTTCAGTCATGGCCTCGTGCATTAGCTGGGATGTGGTGTGGTCGACTCCCATGACTGGAAGCATGTTGCTCGCATCAGTGGTGTGTTGTTTTTTTCCAAAGGGGGGGGAACCAGCTGAGGAGATCCACACTTTAGGATGTGGGGAGGAGTAGCTGAGACCTGCTTCCCGAGCAGCGCATGAAGAAGTAGTGAGCCCAGTGTTGTCAGGCTCTTTTTACAGTGCAAACTGGTTATAATCATTACTGAACAAAGCTATGTTGTTTCGAAACACAAGTACGATCATGGTTGTTATTTTCAAGATCTTCCCGAATGGCCGTGGCAGCTGAGAGTTCACATAAAAACACAATTCACACCCACACCATCGATAGCCCACGTTGGGAACTGCAAATTTAAAACTGCCACGTGAGGGTTTTGCTAAAAGAGCGTGAAATGAAGTGGCATTCGGAGAGAAAGGGGGCGCCTGGCTCCTTCCTCCAAACATTTGCAAGATGGTTTTGTTTGAACGGATACCGATAGGGAAACGAGCTACCCCTGAGGAGGCTCTGCCCCATGTTCTTAGCCCTGTGGGGTCACTGTTGAGTGCCACGATCAAAACGCCCTTCTTGTATCCCACTAGCCCAGGGTTCAAGTTCGTGCATCAGAGAAAATGGATTCCTAACGGCCAGAAGACCAAAACATTGATTATTTGCTTTGATATTTTTCAATTCCAGTGGGCCTATTTATACCTCTTATTTATTGCTTTGATTATGCTGAATATGGGTGTTTAGGTGTTGTGCCACACAAAACCTTTCCATCCTGAGAGCGAAGGGCCCACCTCCACCATCTGACCTGTGTGGGCAACCCCGGCTCGGTGGGATCTGGCTGGGACCCATTCTTTCTTTCCCTCCTCCCGTCCCCCCTGGCCTTCTCCTCCTCTTCCCCCTCCAGGCGAAGTACATCTCCCAGTGCATCGACGAGATCAAGCAGGAGCTGAAGCAGGATAACATTGCTGTGAAAGCCAATGCCGTCTGCAAGCTCACCTACGTAAGTGTTCCCCTTGCTGGGTGGCAGTTGCCTCTGTAACCCTAAGGGACCTATTGCTCTGGATGGAGGCACCCCAAAATGGGAAGCAGGGGTGGTTTGTGGATGTGACCACATGCTTCCCATCCAGTAACATTTCCTTATTCCGACGTAAAGCAATCTCCTTTTCTGCTAATAATAAAGGGAAGATAAACTCAAACTTGCCTTGATCCGGCGTTATTTTTGAGATTTTATGCCTCGGCTTTGGTCTCTTTTGTCCCGCCTTTGCCCCCAACAGTTGCAGATGCTGGGCTACGACATCAGCTGGGCCGCTTTCAACATCATCGAAGTCATGAGCGCCTCCAAATTCACCTTCAAAGTAAGCTGGACCGCCGGCAATGGGTGGGTGTCCCTGGAAAGCCTTTGGGTATTTCCGCTTTTAGGGCAGCCCTGAAATGGGGTGGGGAAAAACCTGTAGGTGTAGAGTGGAAGAGTCCGGGAGTTTGTTTTAAGAACTGGAGCAGAATTCAACTCTCGGACGGTGACTGGTGAGACTGTTAAAACGACAAAGCAAGGATGGGCTGGATGTGGCCCTCCACCCTCGGTTGGCCTGCTGCTCTTGAGTATTCCTTGCACAGTTTTGGCTCTCAAGGGCTTGTCCTCT